CCACGTGGTCCTTGACCTCCAGCTCCACCTCCACGCTCTTCAGAGGAACTGACACAGAAACAGAAGGAAACAAGATGAACAGAAACCGTGTGAAAACGTCAGTACGTTTTGTAGTTGACGATACAAAATCTTGTGTTTCTGAATGGTTAGGCTTTAGCATAAATAATTACATTTATTTAAAGATATTTGGTGTGAGGCCCAAACACACACTTTTGCATTAAATGGACTAATTTCAGCACACACAAGCCGATACATTCACATCCACAATCATTCTTGCAGAAAAGTACAGAAATCGACAGCAACTACAAATTAATAGAGTACATCAGGAAAATAAACATACAAGAGAATACAAGAACAGATATACACTTAATATTGCTAATGTTCAGCTTACATATCCATTTAATCCAATTTTGTTGAAAATTTAAAAACATATCATTACTGCAAGCTTATGTCAACCAGTTAATATAAGAAAATGTATAGGTCAGTCATCTGTGAGATTTTGTGGTTATGAAGAAAAGTTATAAAATCCACTTTTTAAAAATGAGTAAAAATTAAATGTTGTCTAAGAGTTCTGTACCTGGTTCCTTATTGGCAGTGAGCAGACCACAGCAGTTCACCATCATTGCTGTTCAGCAAGTTACAATGTTGAAGTAGTTGCTGTAAAAATAAAGGTAAGGGGAATTCAACTCTATATCTCATGCTGACAAGTCACAGCAAAGCAACCACTGGACATGTTATGCAACTATGCAATTTATTTTTATTTGCTAAAATGATCCTTTTATACAAAGTCTAATAAGCTGCTTTCAAATATGATTTTCATAAGAGTAGTTATGTTATTGTTTTTTTCAATAATCCCAGTATGGCAAGGTGGAGAAATCATGGCAAAAAAAAATGACCTAACTTATGTGTCTATAATAACATAATAACAACCTGAAATATTATTTACATTTGTTTGTGACTTATTTAGCCAGAGATTAGAAAACAATACTGTAAAAGAGTCAAACTTTGCTTTGCTTTACATTGATACTGAAGAAA